TATAGACAAAGATCAATGGATCAAAGCTATGAAGGATGAAATACAGTCACTTCAACAACGAAATGCATGGATATATGCTATCCCCCCTACAAATACAAATGTAATTGGAACGAAATTTGTACTATAAAATCAAAAGACTGGCTAACAGCCAAATAGACAAATATAAAGCACAATTTGTAGTGCAAGGATACACTCAAAAGAATGGAATAGACTTCTATTCTGACGACTTATTTGCTCCAGTAACAAAACTATCAACAGTACAATTATTGTTATCTTAGGCAGCATCTAAGAACTATGAAATACATTAGATAGATGTAAAATCCGCATATCTTTACAGAGAATTAAATGAGGACGAACTCATCTACGTGAAACTGCTGCCAGGCAGGCTACTTACAGATATTAAACCTAGACAGGCATTATGCTTAAATAAAGTATTATACAGATTGAAACAAGCAGGCAGACAATGGTACAAGAAGATTACCAAACTACTGCTTAAGATCAGATTAGAACGAGCTAATTACAATCATGCTGTATTTTACAAGAAACGAAATAATAAAACAATTCTTGTAACATTTATGCACATTGACAATATTACAATTATTGGCGAAACTATTGCTATAATAACAGCATTCAAACATGCATTAAGACAACACGTTGCATTTACTGATGGTAACGAAATACATTGGCTACTTGGTATTGAAATAAGCCAAGATAGACTACAACGAACGATTAGCTTACAGCAAAAGCATTATATTGAAAGTATAATCAAGCATTACCACTTTGAAAACGAAAAGGCACTACAAACGCCTATTACTCCTGGAATAGATCTATCTAACAATACAAACGATACATACAATACAAACAAAAGTAATAATGAAACAACACCATACATGAATATGGTAGGATTGTTAAGATATGTTGCAGACTGCACATGGCCAGACATATCTTATATTACTGGGCAATTAGCACACTACTTACAAAAGCCCCAAACGCATCACTACAAAGCAGTGAAACATTACTTTGCATATTTAAAATATACAACAAATTGTTGGCTTCAACTTGGAAGCACGAACACCTTAAAACTACAAGGCTATTGTGATGCAGACAGACGAATGACAGAAGGACATAAAGTAATAAACAGCTATGTCTTTCAATTAGCTAAATCAACCATATCTTGGTCAAGCAAATGGCAAAACCTGGTACCACTATCTGTTTATGAAGCAGAGTTGCAAGCACTAGCATATGCTACTCAAGAAGCCATTTGGCTCAAACGATTTGCTGAAGAAGTACTGCAGACTGAATCGGCACCCATTACGATTTATTGTGATAATCAAGGTGCAATAAAGACTGTAAAGTCTGACAAAATAATGTACAACACTCACACTAAACATCTTGATTTACAAAAAGACTTTGTGCAATGTTACATTCAAAACGAATACATCAATGTATGCTATGTTCAATCACAGAACCAATTAGCAGACATCCTTATGAAGGCTCTCCACATCCTGCAGATCAAGCATCTAAACAAACTATTAGGCATACAGTCTTAGTTCTTAATTAATGCTTGAAGGGGAGTATTAGATTGCACTCTGGATTAGGAAATCCCTAATTGCCTTATGTAAAATTACTACACTTGGAATGTCTCGGATTATCGGACTTCACTATGTAGTATATAAGGTAGATACTTGCTTGATGTCTCAATTAGAGAGAGTACTTGGGGCACTCCTGCTACACTTGTTAAAACCTATCAATCAACAAATCTGGATTGAACAAATCCAAGGATACTCAGGCCATTTATACACATTACAACAACATTGTAATCTGTTACACAGTGTATTACTTGTACTAGAACAAGGATATCCAGATATTACAAAAGTAAGTAACTTTTGTAATATTATATTAAACAAAGTTAACAAGCTTTAAAAAAAAAAAGTGGCTTTGTATCAGATCAAGGAAAGGATTGGAACATTACACATACAACAACTGGTACTAGGCACAGGCAGAA